GATGTATACATGATCCCGAGAGACATTCACCGCTTTGATATCCAGGATCGCGTGTGGGTAGAACGTCGCATTCCATCCTCTGTTAAACCGCAGATCGAATGTGTGATTGGCATCCCGTGCGAGAGTGGCGTAGCGGGGAACGAAGTCGTTCAGAATCTGTTGCCGTGTGAAATCCTGCAAGGCGTGAATACCGTAGAGATCGGTGAGTACGGTCGAGGGATGAGAAATGAAGTCGACGAACACTGGATCGACAGTGTAGGTACCCGTCAACACACGCTGCGTCAGTGCAGCCAGATCAGGCTGATGGACGGCACGTTTCTCTTCGGCGATCGTTTTGCGATTCGTCGCGAACAGCAGTACTGTTAGTGCGAGACACATATGTCGGACCATGACACGTCTCAATCGCGTAACCGAGAGAAAGAAAAGAAACTTATCTCGAAGACAATCCATGAACAAGTTCATTTCGAATTTATTCCACAGCTATTGTTGTTGTGATCTTTTTCGAAAATCCACTTTTTGTATTTGGAAAGAAAATTTTTAAACGCTAGGTCAACTTTTTCTAATAAAAGTTGATGATAATCGAGTGATACCTTTTTTTTCCTTTGTGACCTATATACATTCTCATTACCTTAATCCAAGATAATAAAAATAGAAAGAATAGAAAATAGAAAAAAGATTAATGCATGAAAGAAAAATCAAAAGTAAATTATTTTCTGTTAATGAATGAGTAAAAAGCGTTGGTTTTATAAAATCCCTATCACGGCACTTTAAAATTATTTCAAGTTAGCCATCGGAAAGAACATCGCTCAAAATCCTTAAGGATTGAAATTTATCAACAACCGTGCGGCCCTTCATATTGTAAAAATTGAAAACTAACTATGTTACAGGCGTGTTGAGTAAAAAGATAGAGAAAGACAACTTTGTTAATTTAGAAGCCTCTGATTTAGCTTTAAGATAGATAAAATTCTTTAAGTTTCCTTAAGCCCACGACTCTCCAAACCACTTCGCGCCTCTCCGAGCACTACACGGAGTAGAGCTTTTTCCCTCTTGAGAAAACATTGCAACCTTAGATCAGCGAGACCAATACCACAAGCCATATCTGCTTTTATGATATATTTTTTTTTTCGTCAGTATGATCTAGACAAAGTTTCTTTTAAACTTTTGTAATCACCCAATCAGCTTTAAGATCATGCACTAAATAAAATGACTACTACTCAGTATGTGGAACGATATCTCGGCTCGCTGCTTCCCTAAATTGCTTACGTAATAGCTGAATGGCTCCTGGATGAAAATGAAAAGAAAAATGAGCTAAAAGAATTAATAACAGAAATGATAAAAGGAAAAATTGAATTTATTGATTATAATAATCGAGATAAACCTTGTATTTGTGTTAGAAATATTGAAATTGTATTAAGTCGTAGTGAAATTTTAATTGATTTCTTCAAAAATGAAAACCAAGAAATTGAAAAATACTGTCAAGAATTAAAATTTTTTCAAAAAAATAATCAATAATCAAAGTTAATTGTCGAACAGGTTTAAATATGAAAATAAAAGAAAGGCCAACATTGATAAAAATTCTGTCTCCATTGAAATCTGTTCTTAATAGTGATAGTGAATATAAACTACCAGAACAGGATCAATTAAAAACGTTGAATAGTATCTTGGGAAGGAGAAATTTTTTACCAGCGGGTAATGATAAAATTGATTGTACAAAACAGCCATCTGCGATGGTTCATTCAGATTGTGAAAATCCGAAAAAGAAAATCGTTTTGCTCGATCGCATATTGTCATGAAATTTGATCATCATAATGCGACGCATATTTAAGTCGTTCATTTTCGTTCTTTTTTCTTTCTTTGTTTCAACAGTGTACAGCGTCAAAGCAGGAAGAAAAAAACAATGTACTTCTTTTTCAATAAAAAAGACACATGTTGGAAAATAAATGAGTGAACCGTAATTGAAGAAAATCCCTTGATCTGTTTTCTAGTGGCAAGACCCGAATAAAACCCGAATTTTGTTTCTCGTGACCTGACCAGAATCAATATTTCCTACATTGACCCGAATCCGACCCATTTTGGTCTCTGATCGACATATCTCGATGAGTAATAACTTACCTTTTCTCGTAATTAAAATATGGCTGTATTTTTGTTGACCTTGCGTTGCCTGATGTTTATATTGTAGATACATAATTATATAATAGATTTATGAAATGTCTAATGAAAATTATTTTCCATTGAAACACTACAATCTTAGAACAGCAGGCTTTAAACGTAAACGTCAACATTCAAGTGGAGGAGAATTTATATCAACCTCAAGAAATCGTTCAAGATTCCCGCAAAGATTTCGTTCAAGATTCTCCGCAAGAAATCGTTCATATTCAGCATCACATTCACATAGGCCAAGTTCTGTGCCAGCTTCTCTTCAATACCGATCACGTTCAGAAACTAAATTATCATCTGAATTGACAAGGTAAGCGTTGTGTTTTGAACGAAAATTCTTTTATGTAAATTGAATGAAGTATTGATGAAGGTTGTTATTTCACACAATAATATTTTATTATTTATCTTCAGAGTAAAACAATTGCAATCGATCAAGAAAACTGTTCAAATAATTGATGTTGAGCATTTACAGGAGCAACTAAGTATAGCTCATGTTTGTCGAGATGCAAGATTAAAATTTATTCCGGATACAGATATTGCAGTTGGTTTATTTCATCGGAATAGTTTAGAATGTTCAAAATGTCACAAACGTACGCATGCATCAAACTTTCCACCTAAATGTCTAATCGAATCAGCAGTACAAGGACCGAATGCACGTTTATATACTGGATCTGCTGCAACCGGCCTCGGTTATGAAGCAATTAGTAATCTCATGTCATCATTATGCTTACCAATAACTACAAAAAGACATTTTATAGAGTAGACACATAAAATATATTCGAATTTACACAGAAGCAATTTCACTTATTAATCAACAAAATTAGACAGTCGGCTAATATTCACGGCTTAGGTTCTATTTTAACTATTTATGCCAAAAAATTGAAAAACCAAAATTCAAATTGTTTACTAGTTAGTTGTTTTTTTTTGATAGCACATGCTTCACAACGGAAACTAAGAACTTGAACTTCATAATCAATACAATAGTCAGTTTTCTACATATATAAGAAACACAATCCCGTAATTTGATATATGACCACGACGTTTCCATGTACCATCAATTGAAGCATAAACATTCAAAATAGA